AAATTCAGTTATGGAAACAAAAATCTGAAAATACACATATTGCATCTAGACAGCGTGGAGATGTTGGTAATTTGTTTGTAACAATGATTGATTTGCTCCATAAGTGAAAAACTGATGTTTAACTAGTTGAGCTATGTGCAAAGTGAGAAGCCTCAGATGGTTTCACACCGAAGTATTGACACTGGATCTTTGTGCAAATTTTGGTTTATTTTCAAGCATGAGAAGGCAGATTTTCTAGCAGAAAAAAGACTTGAAGATGCTGCACAGTGATCAGTCACGCTGAGGCAATTTTAAGCAATAAGCTGGAGCACAAGAAGATGATTACATTAAAATGTGGGTTCTGCACCAGTTAAGGCTCAAATCCGCAACCTCTGAGACGGTCATCTACCGCTCTGAGCTGATTGGCAAGTAGCAACTTGAAAGGCAGATTTGAAACCACTGTAAAAAATTCAGTTATTAAGACAAAAATCTGAAAATACACATATTGCATCTATACAGCATGGAGATGTTGGTAATTTGTTTGTAACAATGATTGATTTGCTCCATAAGTGAAAAACTGATGTTTAAAATTGCCATTTTTACATTGACTCCAATTGTTCACATTAGAGCAAAATTCAAAATGCAAAAATTCAGTTTTTGAGATAAAATTCTGAAATTTGCCACACATCAACTATTTTGTCATTTTTTCATGAACATTGAAGATTTATTTAGCAAAAATTTGCATGTATATGTTTACAGTACCGTTTACAGTCAAACATTTTGATGCACTGTAGGCTCAATTTTTGATAAATCAAAAATCTGAGAAACATAGTTTTTGTAGGACAGTCTGAAGATGCTCTGTAGCAAGGTTGGTGTCAATTGAGCAAAAATTGTGGGAGGAGATAGGTTTAAGAAGTTTTACAGTTTTTTAAAAAAAACAGAGTGATGAACTTCATAATTTTTAATAGGTTTAAATGTACAAAAGTTTCTTCAGTACTGGGGCTACAGTTTGATGAAAGTTGTGAAGGTGTAGCTAGGGCATTAACAGAAAAGTCGATTTGTGTGTCGACGTCAGTGGCACAAGTCGACACCCCCCGGGAGGAGTCGACAAGTTGTGTGTTTTTCCTTCTCTCTCTCTCTCTCTGTGTGCTTGTGTATGGAATGCAATCGCTGCCTCTGATTGGCTTACACTGATACTTTTATCCTTGAAGTGAACATACTCGGGCGTACTATTAGCGGAGCAGACTCCGCGAGGAATGTCCGCAGTCATTCGGGCTTTCATAGTCCAGCGCACTTCCGCGTTGTAGTTTCCTGTAAAAATGTCCGTGAAAAATCCCTGTGATGTGAAAAATACATGTCGAGCAGTCACTGGTGCGTGGAGCAGAGTCCGCGCGGACCTCCGCAGAGTACGTTCTGCGTACGTTCCGCCCGAGTATGTTCGGGCCTTGACAGACACACATCATGTGTTGAGATACTTCACTTTCCTCCGCCGTGTCAATGTGATGACGTCATCAAATGACTTGTCGACTCGACTCGACTTTATTGACAGATAAGTCGACCTGAAAAAAATCAAAGTCGTTAATGCCCTAGTTGTAGCACGTATGGTTGATTTGTTATGAATTTTCAAAGTTTTGAACTTTAGACGCTTGCTGTAGCACCACCATCAGGACTATTGGCTTGAGTTTACAGCTGAGGATATCTGGCATGAGACTGGACCTTTGTGCAAAGTTTGGTGAGTTTTCACCCATGGGAAGTATGATTTCCTCGGAAGAAGAAGAAGAAGAAGAAGAAGAAGAAGAAGAAGAAGAAGAAGAAGACCTAGGATTACAATAGTGTCCTGGCAGCTTAGCTGCCCGGACCCTAACAAGTGGATGATGATGACTTCCACAAAGTGAAAGATAAACTAATCAATGGCTTCTGTGACAACCTCACCATGTGGTTTGGCAACCTTGATGAGGGTGTCTTGAAGGCCGCTGCCACCATGTTTGACCTAAGCAACTGGCCTGAAGACATCACTGACGTGGCCACCTTTGGACTGGCCGATGTAGAGACTTTTCTCACTCACTTTCAGTAAACTGATGGGTTACAGGGAGCTTTGTGGAACACTGTATTCACTAACAGTCAATCTAAGAAACAAAACTTTTGAAAAAGCCAAATGAACTCAGATCTGTCTATCTGTCAATAGTGGTTGCATTAAAAATCAATATGAAAAGGAAATATGTCCTTATGTTGTGTTTTCACCAGCATTGGTAGGCTGAATTCTCATCAAGAGTGAATAAAGCAGCTAGCTCTGAATCAGTCTGCTCAAATTTTTAAGTTCAAATAACTCATGTTTGTCTTAGTATGCCATTTTGAGGAAATGAGATTCCCATGATCCTTTGCTAAAGAAAATAATAACATACTAGAGTGAAAATAACATCAGAATTCTTTAATGTTGAAATAATGATTGATATCTGGATGTTGCAATAGGTGCATAAGTAATAGAATTATTAACTTCAGTGAGTGCATAATAAAGAGTTTATGAATGTCAACAAGACACTGTTCCCACTTTAGATCCAGTAGCTGCAAAGATGCATTATGAGCTGTTAATAAGTGCATATTAATAATTTAATAACGTTTATACGACACTGTCCCACTTTAGATCCTGTAGCTGCAAAGGATCATTATTTACTGTTAATAAGTGCATAAATAAGCATTTATTAACCGTAATATGGCATTTATATTAAAACCCCTACAAGGAACTTTAATTCTGAGTTGATTTTGGTGACCCTGTGGACAAAAGCGGTAGTGTTTTGCCAGAATGAAGCCTACATTTCCCATGAGCTCTAGCGCGTATTGTCGTAAAGACGCTTACCTGGCTCGCGCATGTGTTTGTTTTGGGGATGAATGAAACAACAAGACGGGAAAACTTTGCCCCTGCTCCTATCGGGGATCCTAGCTCATCTCTGCTGCGCCCCAGCTCCACCTCTCCGGCGTAAGCGCCACCGCCGCCGGGGTAAATGCAGCAGTCGGCTGGTAAGGCTGAAGGCCTGTTTGGCGAGCACTTCCACGGCTTCTTGGACTGAGTATGGAGTGGTGCCTCGCCTCTTTATTTCTCGGCACTCGCTGGACCCTGTCAACGCCTGGCTGGTACCTGTCGTCGGCCCGGATGAGGTGTTCCAGCCCCGCGGCCCCTGCTCTCCTCGTCCCCGCTGGCACGGGGTGAATCTGCGCAACCTGCGGCCTCTGTGTGTGGCTCCCCGGACAGCTAATGCCGTGGACCCGCCGGCTCCTGCCAGGATTGGGCTGGTAAATGCTAGATCGCTAGCGAACAAAACGTATATCCTGAAGGATTTCCTGACTTCCCGAGGATTGGATTTTCTCTGTGTGACTGAGACATGGCTGACTGTTGGTGAGTCCAGTGCTTTCACAGAACTTTTACGCGATGATTGCTGCTATTTTAACTCCCCGCGGATGTCGGGTCGAGGAGGAGGAATAATGACTATTTATAAGAGTCTCTAAATGTAAGCAGCTAGGTAAGATGACGTGTGCCGTCTGAGTGCCGTAAATCGCTTCGTCCTAGAAGCGACCTGCGGCGAACCCGGACGCAGTTTCTTAAAGGTATGGATATACACTATATAGAAATAGCTTATCTTCACACCGATGGTCTCATTTGCTGTTGTAGGTCACGCACAGACATCAGCAGAAACGAGAGACTTTTGCATATCCAGTTAAAAGTTCCTTGTAGCGGCTTTAACTTTGTATAGTCTCATTAATGTTAATAAACACCTTATTAATTTCATTTTATTGGTCTTATAGTGTGTTATAAACCAGTAATAAATGTTGTTATTATTCTATAATTAACCCTTATAAATTATAATTAATGTAAATAGACATCTTATTGATATTTACTATAGGTTTATAAACTGTTACCAAAGTTTCTATTAAGTGCTTATAATGCTCCTATAAGCAATAATAACTCAGTCAGTTATGCTGTAATAGACACTTAATCTAGTCTTATTCATCTTAATAAGTATCTTATACCGTCTTAAAAGTGCTCATTAACTGTTAATTTGTGCTTATAAAGCATTAATTAGCGCTTATTACAGTACCTCAATATAAGGTGTTACCAAGATTTTTACCTATATATATGAATTTTAAGCAGTTTTCCTACATTATATGATAAATTTGAATATGGAATTGAATTCCCCATATATGAAAACCCGAAAAAGACATTTTACTCTGTTTTTTATCTTGTTTAGGTCAAAAGATAAGTCCTTAATTAGATTTCAGCCTGGCGATGGCGGCCATATTGGATTTTTCCATTCTGAGGCATTATGGGACATTTTTGTGCTGGGCATACAGCAGATTTGGATTCAGCACCCTTGAAAACACCTAAAAATGCTGTATGCTGAAAAATTAACATGAAATGCCTTCGGGGTTCACTTTTTGGGGAAACTGACCCTGACTATAACTGGTGACTCTAAATTGGCCGTAGGTGTGAATGTGAGTGCAAATGGTCGTCTGTCTCTATGTGTGAGTCCTGATGTGATAGTCTGGCAACCTGTCCAGGGTGTACCCCGCCTCTCACCCATTGTCAACTGGGATAGGCTCCAGCCCCACTGCAACCCTCAAGGGGGTAAGCGCTTAAGAAAATGGATGGATGGTATTATCATCTGTTACAGTCACTGAGAAAAAAATATATAATGAAATCACAGTTAGTAATGAGACGCCACACTTAATCAGATGCACAGCGTCTGCAGTGATGTGGGCGCTGCGCTGGACTGTCGTGGTAAAGAGAGCTGAGCATGAGGGCAAAGCTTTTGATTTACTGGTCCATCTATGTCCCAACCCATGCCTATGGTCATGAACTATGGGTAATAACTGAAAGAATGAGACTGTGGTTACAAGCGGCCAAAATGAGTTTCCTCCATGGAGTGGCTGGGCTCAGGCTTAGAGATAGGGTGAGGAACTCAGACATCCAGAAGCATTTTTAACAGGGTAACCTGTAAAGTTCCAACACCGTCTATGACTCAGCTTACATGTTCGAGGAAGCAGCAACCAATCTCACTGAGGTGCGCCTGCTCCTTGTTAAATTTCTTCTCCAGGTCTTTCAGGAACTTCCTCTGGAAACGGTAGATCTCTTCAATATTGCCAAAGATGGTACGAAGCTGCTCTTCTGTGAACATGTCTGTCCGCTTGCGGCACTGTTTGATGTAACCCTAAGGGGAAACACAAAATGTATTATAACATGCTGCTTTTTTGTTTGTTTTAACAATAAGCAACAAAACATGACGTACCACAAAACATAACGTGAATGAATACATTTAAACATACACCACACACAGTACATATACAACAACAACATATGTTTTGGAGGCCATAAAAGGCTTGTTCTGTTGCTAGTATGCCCACACTCTTTAAGCCAGGTATTTCTCAGTTGTTTTGCTGCCACTTACAGAGATGTAATAAAGCACTGTCTTTGCTTTACATTTACATTCTCAAGTGGTTTTCCAAGTAAATATACCACTTAACAGAAGGGAATATGTACATTAGTTATCTCACAGAACAAGGTTGTGTTGGATTTGAACCCAAAAGTTCAAACTCTCAAAGACCACCTTCATAGTGTTGGGGAAGTGGATTAATTTACATTTGCACACTTCAATAATAGTTAATAATAAAGTTTGTATGGACAGAAGGACAATGCACACTGCCAAGTGTGCCTGCTCCCTGCTTGCAGTTTTGCATTCTTTACATGAAGGACCACAGCAAAAAAAATGGATTTCATCTTTACCATCCCTTGAAATGTGTGATTTAATGTCCTCCACCTCCTCATAAGATCAGATAGAAAATTAAAACTCAAAGTTATGGTTAGGTCGGTTTCAACAGTGAGCTCCTAGTTAATGTAGCATTCAGTCAAAGGAGGTAGAACAGTGGTTACATTGTTGACTAGAACTAGAAAGTTTGAGAGCTGACAGCCAGTCAGAAAAAGAAAATTTGCTGGAGGGATGCCTTTACTGGAGCTTGTGTGTAACATTCATGTGTATTTATCATGAGATCTAACCCAGACCTCACAGATGTCTTTCAGGTGCTTGATGTAGTCTCTTTCTGTGCTCATGATCTCATTGATGACATTGGTTCTCATCTGTTCTTTGCAGGGTAAACCAGGTCCCAGCAACAAGCCCAGGCCTGTGCGGTTCTCCTCTCCAGCCTGAGCCTCCTCCAGGTGGGCCAGATACTCCTCCATGGGCTCATCCTGGTTCACACGTAACTGAGGAGGACACAGGTAACTGTTAAACCCCCAGGAGGGATTCAGCTTTTCCTGCCTCTGCATCTATTTTATTTTCAACTGACCCTTTGCTAAGCCTGCCCCTTTGTGATGGTCTGTAAGGCTGTCAGAGTTACCATGTAGCCCACATTGTAACTAAACTAAATATTATCACTTTTTTTTTTAAAGTAATCTCAGAGAGAGAGGCAGCCAGGAGGGTCTATAATATGAGTCTAAAGGATATATCCAGGCTGTCAAACTCACTCAGCAGCAAAAACAGGTTAAAAAGATAAAGATAGATAGAAGCTAAAGCCTAACGATTGGCTACAGATCACAGTATAAAAGTTGACCAAAACATCACTGGAGATTGAGATAGAAGACAATGAATACAAAGGGAAATGTTGCTGATATTCAACCAGCTGTGTGTCATAGCATGTACAGTTTTGCTTCCACTTGTGTTGCCAGCTCCTGGACCTAAGCTGGCAGATAGGCGGGGTGCTCTGGGGAAAGCTAAACACTGTTCATCCACACACAGTGTAATGACACACAGCTGGTTGAATATTAGTCAAATTTACCTGTGTCCCTTCACTGTTCCTGTAAAGCAGTTTAGGTCTTTTTTCACTGTTGGAATCATTAAAAAGCAAAAAGGAGTGTGTGTATAACATTCAGTAGGCCTACATCTTCAGGGTCTGATTATGGTTTTGGAATGTGCACCTCCTTTCAACCTCTCCAGGTTACAAGTATCATTAATACACAATGGGTCTCATTCATGAAAAGTGAGTAAATCTGTGTGTAGATTTGCACATAAAAGCCTGCTCTTCTAAAAACCTAATCCGGATTCAGGAACGCCGCGGGAAACTCAGATTTGATTGTAAACACGTGTATATGATCATGAATGCCAATCCATCGTAAAGTGACAGCGCGCTCCTGGTAATCAGCAATTAGCATAAATCCCCGCCCAGGAATAGCCAATGACCACCATATAAGGAGGTGTAGGTGCATCCAGTCGACCTGTCAGTCATGGCGCAAACAAAGAAAGAGAGGGAAAGAAAAAAGAATTTTTCCAAAGCAGAGATCGAAATACACTGCTCAAAAAAATAAAGGGAACACTTAAACAACACAATGTAACTCCAAGTCAATCACACTTCTGTGAAATCAAACTGTCCACTTAAGAAGCAACACTGATTGACAATCAATTTCTGTTGTGCAAATGGAATAGACAACAGGTGGAAATTATAGGCAATTAGCAAGACACCCCCAATAAAGGAGTGGTTCTGCAGGTGGTGACCACAGACCACTTCTCAGTTCCTATGCTTTCTGGCTGATGTTTTGGTCACTTTTGAATGCTGGCGGTGCTTTCACTCTAGTGGTAGCATGAGACGGAGTCTACAACCCACACAAGTGGCTCAGGTAGTGCAGCTCATCCAGGATGGCACATCAATGCGAGCTGTGGCAAGAAGGTTTGCTGTGTCTGTCAGCGTAGTGTCCAGAGCATGGAGGCGCTACCAGGAGACAGGCCAGTACATCAGGAGACGTGGAGGAGGCCGTAGGAGGGCAACAACCCAGCAGCAGGACCGCTACCTCCGCCTTTGTGCAAGGAGGAACAGGAGGAGCACTGCCAGAGCCCTGCAAAATGACCTCCAGCAGGCCACAAATGTGCATGTGTCTGCTCAAACGGTCAGAAACAGACTCCATGAGGGTGGTATGAGGGCCCGACGTCCACAGGTGGGGGTTGTGCTTACAGCCCAACACCGTGCAGGACGTTTGGCATTTGCCAGAGAACACCAAGATTGGCAAATTCGCCACTGGCGCCCTGTGCTCTTCACAGATGAAAGCAGGTTCACACTGAGCACATGTGACAGACGTGACAGAGTCTGGAGACGCCGCGGAGAACGTTCTGCTGCCTGCAACATCCTCCAGCATGACCGGTTTGGCAGTGGGTCAGTAATGGTGTGGGGTGGCATTTCTTTGGGGGGCCGCACAGCCCTCCATGTGCTCGCCAGAGGTAGCCTGACTGCCATTAGGTACCGAGATGAGATCCTCAGACCCATTGTGAGACCATATGCTGGTGCGGTTGGCCCTGGGTTCCTCCTAATGCAAGACAATGCTAGACCTCATGTGGCTGGAGTGTGTCAGCAGTTCCTGCAAGACGAAGGCATTGATGCTATGGACTGGCCCGCCCGTTCCCCAGACCTGAATCCAATTGAGCACATCTGGGACATCATGTCTCGCTCCATCCACCAACGCCACGTTGCACCACAGACTGTCCAGGAGTTGGCGGATGCTTTAGTCCAGGTCTGGGAGGAGATCCCTCAGGAGACCATCCGCCACCTCATCAGGAGCATGCCCAGGCGTTGTAGGGAGGTCATACAGGCACGTGGAGGCCACACACACTACTGAGCCTCATTTTGACTTGTTTTAAGGACATTACATCAAAGTTGGATCAGCCTGTAGTGTGTTTTTCCACTTTAATTTTGAGTGTGACTCCAAATCCAGACCTCCATGGGTTAATAAATTTGATTTCCATTGATAATTTTTGTGTGATTTTGTTGTCAGCACATTCAACTATGTAAAGAACAAAGTATTTAATAAGAATTTTTCATTCATTCAGATCTGGGATGTGTTATTTTAGTGTTCCCTTTATTTTTTTGAGCAGTGTAATTTTGGGTGAAGTGGACTTAAGAAAAAACATTTTATTTTCTTCAGTTAGTAGTGGTGTGACAGGGACAGGCAAAGCGAAGGCCTGGAGGGAGGTAACAGATGCTGTTAATGTTGTCTCCGTGGCACAAAGAACCATGTCAGAGGTGAAGCGTAAATGATTTCATATGAAACTGGAGGCAAAGAAACACATAAGCACACACAAAAAAATACAGCGGTCACAGGAGGAGGAGGCTCACAGTCACAACTATCTGCTGGGGAGACCTCTCTGTCAGGAATTATTCCTGACGGAGACAGTGACATGCCTCCACTAGAGTCAACATCAAACCCAGACTGTAAGGTGTTGTATCATAATACATTCTGAAAATCATCATTGATAGCGTAGTGGTCACCAAACAAACAGAAAATTCATTTCTGGGGTTTTGAATGAAGTGGGAACGGGAAACCAGAGATGTTTTGTGCGTAATGGATAAACTCTAAATCAGTGATGGCTGTCGGAATGTAGAGCTATTTAACATTTATTTTAACAAATGATACGGATAACATATAGCCTACAGCAGTTTTGTATGCATCGTCTTCAAATTATTTGAATCTTAAGAGCCTAAAGCTCTGTTTAATACAATGTAAATTAAATATTTTTCAGATCAGATTTATTAATTCAAATGATCAAAAAGCCAAAAAAAACAAAACAAAACAAAAAAAAAAAACGTGTTGTCTCAAATAATTCTTTCAGCTGGCACGTGCTCCTTCGTGGCTCCACCACCTGCTGCTCCTGCTGCCCCTGCTGAACCCAGGCACCAAGGCCAAAGAGGCTGTGATCCGGCTGTCCTTACGGATATTTTTATTATCATCATTCAACATGTAGAAAGAACGTGTAATCTATTGACTCGATTTACATAGATAAATCACAATCATGAATCTAATCTGAACCTAATCTAATCTAAACCTGCTAATTGCCAACTAATGTAACTAAATGTGTTATATTTTTAATATTTTGTCATGTTTAGATTACATGTTTCAAAGGCATCTGTGTATTGTCCTACATAACTAAAATTGTAATTTCCAATAGTGAAAAGCAATATTTATGTGCTTTACTAAATTTACACAAGCACTACAAGTGGTCAGGAGCAGGAGTAGATTTTGTTAGTAGCTACGAAAAGATCGGAGCTACTAAAATATTGATGAATGCGGACATGCACGTAAATGCGAACAGTTTACACACAAATTCCTTCTGCTCACGTTTCATGAATAAATGTTTTCCAGGCACAACGTTCAGCTATAAAATCCACAAAACCAGCCAGAAAATGAAGGAAATCTGAAACAATTGCATTACAGTCTGTGGAGCATAGCTGTCTACTTGCAAAATTCTTTTCTTGGAGCTAGCCAATGCTATGCTATGACTAGCCAGTCTGTGTTTAAGTGAAGGGTCAACTGAATGTGAACTGCAGCTCCAATTTTCTAAAACCTTCTGCTTAACAGTGTTCATGAAAGGAAAAGGCATATCATGACATTTCTCTCAAGTTTTTTTCTTTCATGCTTATTATGAACCAGGTCTTGGTAAGGATTCACAAAACAATAGAGCCCTAATTTTGCAGAAATATTGATATTGTTATTACTCAGTCTGCTAGTACTGCAGCAGCTGCAGTCATTAATCAAACTGTGCAATTAAAATCTGTATGGCCAATAATTTCTGTCCCCTCCAGTAGCCTGGACAGAGTTTATCTCACCCGTACAAAGCTGGCAGGGAACCAGCCCTCGCTGTCCATGATGCGACCCCACCACCACTCCTTGTTAGTGGCATCCACTACTTCAATGACATCACCAGCCTTGAAGCCAAGCTCCTGGTCGTCCATGGTGACATGGTCCCAGAGGGCCTCAGCATACACCACGCTGCCATCACTGATCAGCTGCAGAGGAAGCACCACACAAGGTCACAGATCAAAATATGCTGTAACGTCATAGTTGCCATAGGGGCACTTGTAGTCATACAGTCAACTTCAAGAGAAGTTAACCAGCCACTAAAAAGACCATGGGTGGACTTTACTGATGCAGAAGTTTAACATATTCTTCAAACCTTATAGTTTAACCAGTTATTTTCTTCAGTCATTTTTAACACAGGTTGACACATGCTGATAAGTGTTTGATCCCAGAAAGTGAGACATCTGTGCCTTATGAGTAGGCTGAATGATGGCATTACATTACAATGACTTTCACTTGGAAAAGAAGCTGAATAATACTCAAGTCAGGAGGCTAACATGCTGATGTGCTGTTTAGCAGCTCTGATACCTACCATTTTCACCATCTTATTTTATTGTGTTACTAACATTTTCTAATTAGCATTAAACACAAAGTACAACTGAGGTTGATGGGAATGTTTTATAAGCATTTTATCATGTGCCAAAGTATTAAAAACAAAAATTTTGACCTTATGAAAAATCAGAGGACTTAAGTTCTTACGATTCATCCTGAGGGGAAAACAAATGATGAACCACATTTCATAACATTTATAACCACATTTACATGACATTAGAGAAGATTGATTTATTGTGTTAGTCTGAATGAACCCAGGCTTGGTTTAATTTTCAGGGCAACTGAAATCATACTTTGTCAAATTTCTCAAAGTCGGCCCAACACACCCAGATAATGTGAGTGGGAGTCAAATTACTCCTGCATGTACACAGTCAGTTGGACCCAGACTGAACAAGGTGCTCTACGCATGTTCCAGTTTCTGCCCCAGGCTCTGACTCAGAAGTCAAATAGCATTAAATGGATAACAGACGAGAAAGAAGCCGGTAACAAGATGCAGTAATCTACATCCAGAGCTGTGCATTTTTGGATGGACGTAATGTACAGAGCTGTAAAGTTGTCCATCATGGTACCAGTTTGCTGCTAGCTAACCATAGCTAACTTGTTTGTCAGTTGTTTGGTCTGTGATGTCAATAGGTCAACCACAAAAAGGTCCGATACTAACAAGCTGAAAGGGGGCATATGACCACGTATTGTAGCAGAGTTGGACAAACTGCGGTTGATGAATCTATTCTCCTCCCATGCTTGTATACTGGGACAAGGATAGTAGGTCCAATTAAATAGCCTATTCCAGCTATAACCCTAACTTGACTTTACTGTATATGTAAATGTACTGAGTGAAACAGAATATTTGAGCAGTGCAGAGTTACAAGAGGGATTTTTATCAAATCATTTGCATTTGATTGGACCGTTAAAAGTGAGCAGCCTTAGAATCTAGCAGGATAGGGAGCTACAGCAGAGTCTGCTGCTGAGCAGACTGTTGATTTTATACACACCTCCCTCTCTGTTAGAGCTGGAGGAGGACAAGGCAGTGTGTCACAGCATATTGTGCACCATTTCCTCTGAGTACGAAGTATAAATGTTACTAACATGAGCTGGCTCATTCATCGTCAAATAATGCACCGTCAACACTGGTACACAGTGTATGCTTAATAGAACTGGGGTCAAATATGGGTTCAGACACAGTCAAGGTGTGTTCAGTGAAGTCTGCTTTGATGTAATTAGGTCAAGGCTGGCCCATAATTCAGCACACATAGTTCACCACTTTGTATCGTCTAACTTTATCAGTAAGTTTGGATGTAGGCTTAAAAGGCAAAGTTCAGCAGACATTGAGGGCCAAATTCACAAAAGGATTGCGTGGCTTTTGCGGCCGCTAAACCGGTAAATATGCATATATTTGGCGGAAAACTGGCCCATTTCTATGCAAATGAGCCTCATTGATAAACAGCGTCTAATTCTCTAACACCAGTGCTAATAGCCACACGCAGTTTGAGTGAAGTAAATAACGTCTTTAGAAAGCTGGTACAAACTGGGCGCTCCTCTGTGGAAGCCTCTCGCCCAGACTTTCCAGTGATCGTGGCAGCAGTGATCGTCTGTTAAATCAGTCTGTAAATAATATTTTGACATTATTATTATAATCATTATTACTTTAATGGCATCTGAAGATACTGATGCATTGAACAGGTGACAGTCTGCGGTTGTTCTCAAAACGCACTTCTGTCACGCACTTCCAAAGCAACTTTCACTAATTTATTTTACGAAACGGGGGAAACAAACGTGAACAAAAACTGTTCCATAATTCATATTAAATTCAAATGATAACTAAAAAACAGCTACAAGTGAGGGGGAATAGTGATAAAGTGGTCAAACTTGGTCAAATCCACAGCCTCAACCCATCCGACACTGTTAGACTGACTCACCAGCAGACATCACTACATGAGGGTATACAATATTCAGTACTTTGCCAAACAAAGTCTGCCATTTTTCTGTTACTGTGTTCTTGGTTCAATGCCAGCATTTATACTTTGCCATGTGTGGCTTATTGCAATCAGGGGTATATCAGGTGCAAACTGCACTCAGCTGCCAAACTTTGTGGGCGTGTTTGCGCTGGTATATCATTAGCGCAATATCCTTTGTGAATAGGACGTTAAGACGGAGCAAACTGCGGGTGCAAATGAAGTGCAGTTCAAGGTGCTATCAGTGGCCGCAGTTCATTCTTTGTGAATTCGGCCCTGAGTGTATTTATGTAGTTCTATGTAGAGGACTATATAGCCAGGTAGCACACATACATCTGGCCAACGTCGACCTAAGGACGACACATGGGGCCTTAATTTTTAACATCTGACAAGCGTCGGCCGCATGGGCAAATATCTTTAAATTTAATACTCTGTTGTCCCAGCTTATCAAACGTCTCTGTTACGTCGGCTTTGGGTCGGCCCATAACTGCCCACGTACGGAAGTCGCCACGGAAGGTGGAATTTCATCTCCACGATCTTTGTTTGAAACTGAGCTCGCAGGTTGCAGCATCTCATCTCAGTTGGTTTCAGGTAAGCTAATTGGAATAAATCGGCAGAAAATAGCTATGTTGTTTATTCTGTGACCGTTAAAAGAGGTTCCTGGTGAGGCACGACTAGGTGTATATGGCTTAGCACAGGTCCCCACCAGCTGTCGTTAGCTGTTAACTAGTTTAGCTCATGTTAGCTAACAGGCTACAACTGTGGTGTTTTCATTTTATTTTCCCTAGTTGGCGTTATCTGCTTATCTGGTTATCCTGAGCACTCGTTCTGGGTTAAAGTGGAATTGCCTGGAGCTCCCACCCGTGGTCCCGGGCAGGGCTCGAGACTTGGGACCCACTCACCTATGGTCCTGCCTGGCCTGACCTCCGTGGCCCTCCCTGGACGGATGCTCAAGTGTGGGTGAGAGGAGCAGAGAGGACTGTGGAGGTCAGGCCGGGTGGGCCGACACTGTGTATCCCAGAACAGCTCAAGTGTGGGTGAGAGTGGCGGAGAGGACCGCAGAGGTCAGGCCGGGCGGGTTGACACTATGTATCATCTGGCATGTGGCACACGCATTCACCTTCCATCTTACGGTCTCACTCTGCCCAACCAATTCTCACGCCAGTGACGAACGCTGGAAAAAAGGCTGGCACCTGAGTATTTTAAATTAATTTCAAACAGCCAGTGCGCCGGGTGGGTGGAGTTGAAGTTTGCAGCCAGACTTCAGAGAGGGGAGAGGAGAGGAGAGGAGAGGAGAGGGTCAGACTCCGCCTGACCGGCATACTGGTTGAGTGAAATGGAGTGAAGCCAAATGTTTCTGTGGAAAACTGCTCTCTGAATTGCTTGTTTGCTAGTTTCAAGGGAAAAAAAACTCCTCCTTAATAAGACCTTGTGCTCACTATTGCTTTGCACATATTTTTTTAATCTTTATTGCTACAATAGAAAGAGCAGGTTCAGGGAGGACAAAGTGGCCAGCAAGGATGATCATGCAGGGTCTTCACAGGTGAGGAGAGATTATAACTGGCTGAGAGAAAATATCTATAGCATAAAAGTGACTTTGAGGTTAATTTTCCACAGCGATTTCACTACTACTCTTCCTAATTCTATTTCAAAATTTTGCTTTCCACATATTTTTTTTAATCTTTATTGCCACAATAGAAAGATCAGGGTCAGGGAGGAGACAGTGGATCAGAGGATGATCATGCAGAGTCTTCACAGGTGAGAAGAGATTATAGCTGGCTAAGAAAAAATATCTATAGCCTAAAAGTGACTTCGTGATTAATTTCCACAGCTATGTCAAAAGGCATTTGGAGAGCTTTGTAAATGTCAAAAATTAAATGAAATGGCCTTGGTCTAGGCACTCTTAGACTTGCATAGTCTAGAAATATATCATGAAATGCTCTTTAGACTACAATAATACATAAAATATATTATTATTCCCAAAATAATATTTAAGTTAGATCTTAATCAAAATATATTCAACCATTTCAACCATGAATTTTGCTTTAAATCCAAAATGGGTCTTGTGTCTACAAAGTAATAGGCTATATGCCACATAGGCAAGTCCTAGTTTCTGGTTTTAACTAGTTCAGTCACTCTGAGCTGAATGCAGGTTCACTTGTGAAGGCACTGTGAGTCAGGGTGGCTTTGAATGAATGTAGGTATTGCCCATCTCCAGAATGCTACCACTAAACCCACCAGAATGCAGGAAATCACATCTACAACATCCAAAATTTTCTGGGGGAGGTCCCCCACACCCCCACTATACCACCATTGTCTCTCTATGTACAGTATTTGTATGTAAGGTTTTAGGTCCTATCCACCTCCAGCAGACACCCCAAAAATCCGTTAGGAAGCGTGGGGATCAGGATCGCATCTGTCAAAGTTGACAAAGCTTTGTCAGTTGACAAAAATTTTATGTGTCGGCTTAAATAACGAAATTGTGGTTGGCCCCGCTGAATCTCACTCCAAGGTTTTTTGAAAAGTTGGCAATCCTCTACTGGAAAAGATCAACTCGGTGCCCTTCCTATACAGTCCTGTCGTTTGCTGCATTGCATGATGGGGAATAGTGCTTGGTGAGTGACCATCAGTTGTACGCTACTTTT